ACTAGGACGAAATGGTAGTCCACTACTCCTGTGTTGGTTTTCCAACGGTTCTCTAACTGATTTCAGCTCATGATGAAATCCTCAAACCAATCAAACTGTATTATATATGGTACTAGTGATTCTGTAGTCACCTTGATTACTAAATAAAGAATTACATGAGAATTCTAAATATTTTATAACTTTGAAAAAACTTTTGTACACTCATTCAACTGAAACTGAAGGTATCTCTAGCAGCAGAAACACGACAGCAATGGCAGAAGAAAACATTCTCATATGTAGATACATAAAGCCTCGTATGTCACTTTCTTTGTATTAATTGAGGAACAGCAATGAAAAATATTTCTGAATGGTTGACAAATGAAACAAACAGAATAATAATATCAGTAGTGGTAACGATGATTCATTCTGAACAATACAGAATACTAAAGCACATCTAGCTACACATTAAATTGTTAAGACCTGTATGTATACCCTTTAATTAAAAGTAAAACAAACATTTTTATTTAAATCTACTAAGAAATAAAAGGTTATAAAATGTTATTTATTCATTGATGCTTCGGTGATTCAGTCGTAGAATGCTAATCGGCCAGGCGGCAGATAAGGGTCCGATTCCCGGACGACTCACTTCTAAATCCCGCCTAGTGAGTAGTAAGCCTGTAAAAGAGAGATGGTTGGTTGTAAAACTGATAAGCTTCCCCCGTAAAAGCTATGTCGTTGCTACTTGAACTTTAGAGCTAAAGGCTTAAAGCAGTGTATTCTACTGGTAACACAAAGAATAAAAAGTAACTCTAGATAACTTCCATGGTGTCTAGATTGTGGTTTCTTGTCAAATTTGTCAGATTAAACGTCATAACCTAGCGACTTAATATTACTGAGCTTCAAAACAATACTTTTTCTATTTTTCCTTTGGCTTCCGAAAGGAACATAGGGCTTCAACAACACGTCTTCACTTTCTCCTGTTTTATGTAGTCCTCTTTAGCTAACCCCACCACTGCACATAATCTAAAATCTCCCTCTCGCCATTCAACGGTCTTATCATCGTCTGTCCATATCTTCTACATTTTCTTCTGCATATTTGTTGAGCAATAGTTTCTTGTCTACTTCGTTCACGGAGCTCCCTGTTACTAATGTTTTCTAAATGGTCATTTGACCTTCAATACGGAGCCATCAAAAGCACCTGTTGATAAAAGTCTGCAGTAGTCTCCTAGAAATGTTTTCCGCAACGCAGATGCCAGGTTTCTGATCCATACGGAAGCACAGACTTGAGAATGGTGTTAAAAATCAGAATCATATACTCCATATTGAGTGCGGCAGACTTCAAAACTGGTTTCAGATTGATCAAGGCTTATCTGTCCTTTCCGATTCTGGCTGGTTTCAACATCTTCATCCATGTCATCTGCCTGTGGCTGGAACCGTGCTTCTTAGTTAAGTGAAGGAAGTAACCGCATTCAGATCTGTCCTTTGGAATGTGTTTGGTGCTGTCTGTTGTCGCTGTTGCTGTTGGTTGCTTATATTCATCACCGCCGTCTTCTCTATGCTCATCTGGACTTGTGTCTTCGCTGCCGGCTTCTTCAGCCTGTTTGTTGCTTTTCGCCAGCAGGTCTTTGAGTTTACCTGACACTAGGCATAAATCATCCACGCTCGAAATCCAGAACTTCTGGGTGAAGTCTTCTTATCACTCCAAAGTGTTCCTGCCTTCTTTCAGCCTGTGCACTGTCTGACGCATAATCTAGTCCACCACAATCAGGAATATCAGCGGTGATGTTGGGTAGCCTTGTCTTACTCTTGTATTCACTTCAAACTCCTCGCTGAGGTTTCCTCTGTGGATCACCTGACACGTGCCACTCTCATATAGCCAGCTGTTAAATGAGATTAATAAAGACTTGGGCACTTCACGCCGTATTATTGAAGCAGTTTCCAAATTACTTCTCGGTGAACGCTATCTGTAGAAGGTCTTTTTGAAGTCAATGAAGCTGTGAAGTAGAGGTTTGACTGCTATTCCATGCTATGTTCGTTGACGATGCATAGAGTTGCAGTTTGATCAGCACATGATATGCCTCCCCTGAATCCAGCTTGTTGCGAGCTGGCGGAGTTCTGCATACACTGAATCTGTCATTCTCTCCGGAACGATGTGACTAATTATTTTGCATGACGTGGAGCAGAGCATGATTCCGTGCCGGTTCCTTCAGGAGCCTAAGTCTCTCTTCTTTGATAGTTTAGCAAGGTGGCTTTTCTTCCAATCAACAGGTATCTTAACATCCTTCTAAACCTTTTGCAATAGTGGTCTCTGGATGCATTTTCAGTGCTTCAGGGAGAATTCCGTCTGGCCCTGCTTCCTTCCCGAACGGACTTCAATAGCCTGACTGCACTGAAGACTTCTACTTTTGTTGGAGGACTGGTGTCCACCGTCAGTTCTGTGGTTGACTTCAAATCATTTATATGAAATTTGTTTCTTCATCGAGATAATTTTATGCTTGGAGTGTATCAGTCTAATCCATTAAATATTTCTAATTTACCAAAACAAAATAGGAGACAGTTAAATATGGAACTTGAAATGGAAGCAGATTAGCTTAAGTTAATAAGTCTGTCTATAGCTGAAAAACTGGAGTAAGCCTAAACACAGTCTCAGCATTATTCATTTTATCAATCAGTAAAATATGCGGAAATTATTAATATTGAAGTCGTGTAAATTACTTATGAGGTCACCGCTTTCATTTATCTAGGCAGCGTAGTTTCAACTTCATGTGGTACAAATGAGGATATCAAAACCAGAATTGGAATTGCAAGGCGGGTCTTCATCACTCTGAAATCAATTCGGAAATCTTTTGCTCTAACTCAGAACATAAAGAACAAATTTCGGATTCTCAACATCAGTGTCAAGTTCCTATTTCTATGCGGTTCAGAGACTTGGCGTGTCACCTAAAGCATTACTAGCAGGCTTCAGATTTTCATCATCATCTGCCTTAGCTCCACAGTGAAGATTAAATGGCCACTAAGAAAGAATTAGCAACAAAGAACTCTGGCAACGTACTAACCAAGAAGCTACCACTCAACAAATATGTTAGAGGAGATTTAGATGGATCGGACACACAGTGAAGACAAGCTCTTGAGTGGAACCCGAATAGGAAACGACAAGGTATACGTCTTAAGGTGAAACGGAGATCATGTGAGCAGAACATGAAAGCGTATGGACATCCATCGAGACAACTGAGTGGGACTTCAGGCAAAAGGCTATGTGCTGTTGAAGCCCTATGTTCCACTTAGAATTTAGGGAATAATAATAATGAATTAATAACTACCCAATTTTTACAGGATTTCATCATGAGTTGACATTGGTTAGAGAACTATTGGAAAACCTGGGAGTACTGGACAGCTGTTTCGTCCTAGTTCGGGACTCTTCATCAGTACGCACACACCGGGATTTGAACCCATGACCTTCTGGTTACAAGGCGAGCTCGCAGACCATTAAGCCACTGGGACCCGATTCAATAGCCAGCCCATGAATTCTAACTTCTGCCAATTCATGACATAGCGCGAACCCTAGCCAATGTCTTCGGCGAGTATTTGTCCTCACACCCGACCTGCTGCACCCTACTGGTCACGACTTCTCACTAGAACCCCAGGTAACTACCTACCTGAATAGGGCAAGTCGCTAATGAGCATCGCATCGATATTCAAGTGTTGGTTTGTAGGGATTTGATTGGTTACAGGATTTTCATCATGAGCTGACATTGGTTAGAGAACCATTTTTCTACCTTAAAAATATTTATCACTAAGCTGTGAAGAGAAGCACAGTGAACAAGTCGGCAGTACAATCTTCTCTTTATGATGCGTCGGATTTGTTATCAAAGCCTAAAAGGTACAAGGTGTTACACACTTAAAAAGTGTCTTGTAATGATGTTAAAAATATGTCGGCAATCAGTCGATTAGGACCCAATATAATGCTGCATATATTTCAGAAAATATATATATATATTATACATATATGCGGCACAACAGTAACGTTTTCTAGTTCAACCATTCACAAAAATAAACGTCAAATCCTTTGATCTTGTCAACCATAACATCTGTTATATAACTTTCAGGAAAACCATAAAATAATTTCACCTCCTTTCTTTTATAATTTTTTTTCGGAAACCTTTGTAAAATAAAAGTTCTTACCTTGTTGAAAGAGTACAAGTTTACCCTGAGTATCAAATCTTAGATTCTATCTTTTATCTTAGTCTTCCAACAGTATTCACCTAATTTTCTAGAATGGTTGTACTATCAAGTTAATAGATAATAAGGATAAGAACCGTTAAGCATTGTTACGCTTTTGAAGTTGACGAACATTTGTTAAGTAGATACTGGCAAGGTTATTCTATCATAGCCAAAACCGCAGTGACCTTGAACAACCAATCAGAATTCACGTGCAAAAAAGTAGCATAATCGTTGTAAAATACACTACAAAATATTGCTAACATGATATTTACACTGTATAGTTAGTTGTAGCTTATGTGTTGTAAAAATGTCTCCGAGTCAATACACAGATGATCTACAGAGAAATCCTACCATGAGTGATATACCCATTCATCCAGGTGACTGTAGGTGATGGTACTTTGAGATCCATTGATATTTCTGACACTATTCTTTACTCTACTCCTAACTCTAACCGTAATCCTAACTCTAATCCTAAAACTAACCTTAAACCTAGATCCTAAATCTAAATCTTAAACTGCACAGCCCTACCTAACAGCATAGATTTGCAGAGGATGTACGTAGTAGGTAAGCAGAATACTGTATCTATCCTCTCAAAGTGCAAAAAGGCGGTTCTTGAAAGTGAACTTTTGAAAGACCTTGACTTTGACTATGATACTTCGCCTAGATCCTATTTGGAGGTGTATCTAAGCATATATCCCACATGCGCTTTCCTCCACACAGAATAAATCCTATGTCCCTGAAACTATAAGAATTTCTCAGAAGGTGGAACGAAAAAAAAAGTTTTCAAAATAAAAAAATATTTAGAGATCAGTAATTTTTTCTACTAAACTCTGACATTCAAATATGAAAAAACAACGTTCACCTTCAGTAAGATACTTGTGAAAATCTTCTTCTTCCCTCCATTGACTTGATAATACATAATTTGGACCACGGATACCATCAAGAATTTTGAAATACTGAGTTGCACTTGTCAGTATTCCTTTACATTGTGCAGCTAAATCTGGTAGTTGTTTTACAAAATCACCAAATTTGTCAACAACTTTTACACAATTCATTGTCAATTCTAAGTATGGATAAGCTATATAGGAGGTAATCCCCGCGAAGAAAAGTTGGGGAACAGTTAGGCAAATAAACAATTTTTAAAATTAAAAGTAATCTACGAGGAAACAAAGTGTTATCATTGATAGAAGTTAAAACTTATGTGCTATTGGGTTCGGTCCCAGTGGCTAAATCGTCAGCCAGCTCGTTCCATAAACTGATGGTACTGGATTCGATCACTGTCGGTGGGATGGCAAACTAGGACGAAACAACTGTCCAATGCTACCTGGTTTTCAGTAATCCTTTAACTGTGATCAGGCTTGAAAATATGCCAGTATCTCAAATACTCAAGAAATGTATTTAACTTACTGACATTTGTAAATGTTCTGAAAATTGTATGAGTAAAAATAATACCCCAGCATAAGATCACCTAACTGGAATTCTACGTTTATAAAAGTACAAACACTTATGTTTCAGAAAAAAAGAATATGAATCTAAAATCAAAGAAGCACAAGGTACCAACAGTTCCTAAAAAGGCCTTATTCTTACAAATGCAGTTCCTTGGGGAAAACATCAGCGAGATACTAACACAACGCCTTAGAAATGCGGTAAAAAGAGCATTCCCTGCTACCGAATTACGCTGTGTCTTCAAAACCACTCCTCTTTTGCGTTCGGGAGTAAAAGACAAACTGCCAATTTAACTGCTCCTATGGAGCCATTTACATAGGCCGTACAACTAGGCGTGTTTCTCGTCGAATTTCCGAACATCACCCTGTGTGGTTAAGCAAAGGACAAACAAAATCTATTCGCAGCGCTATTCTATCTCATCTTGTGGATACAGAACACAAGATTGATGTTAACCATGCTTTCAGAGTCATTTTGCCGCATACCAACGAATCTCAATTTTGCCTTAAGAGTTCGACCACTAAATATTGCTGAAGCTGTTGGGATCCATATTAACAAGCCTAATTTGTGCATCCAAAAGAAGTTAGTTCAGACATTGTCCTTTCATTGGCCATCTAGGTTCGAATGATCTTCAATGTTTTTTGTAGAAATTTCCTTAATTTTATTTGATATTCTATTTGCTATTATATTTTTATTATTATAAAATCAGGCATCTTTAATGAACTGTAATTCCATTGTGATCTTACTTTACAAATCGATATTATTTAAAAAACACTAATATTGTTATTGACTACTATTCTAGAATATTCTACGTATATAAACATGTATATGCATGTAATTGTAGAGCGAGAAGAGGGAATTATCGAAAAGGATATTCTTTGCTCAATTATTTTGTATATTATACTATAATTTCAATAGTCTTCTAGGGTGTATAATTCCATATTAGCTTGATTATTAGATACATGACACCCAAACAATATATAATATATAAACATTTAAGTTTACACAATGCTTACTGTGAGGACTAGACATAGTATTCAACAATGGTATTCCCATTATATCTATACATTCTTTGAATTCATCTTTCAAGTGTAATTCAGCAACACAATCTTCTAACCATTGCATATTATCAAAGACAAATATAAAAACACGTTGATTTAAACACCATTTATTCTTCAGACTGATAGCATTTTCCACCTGTTTTAATGAATACAATGTCAGAAGTATAGAAATAATTTTGTTTTGTGCTGGTTTTTTTGAAATCAATTAGTAAATTCTGATAATTAGTCAGTAAAATTTATCATCATTTTGGAGAAATAAATCATTCCACTGTTCAGGACAATTGATTTTTTTGTTATACAGATCAAACTGGATAACAGAATGGCAAGGAGAGATTGGGAGTTATTCACTTTCATGATATCAGCGCTAAATTTAATTAGTTTTCCACCCTCCGAATGATTTATTAGCCATTGATAATTAAAAAATGCATATGGACAAGTATAAGCAGCAATGCATCTAGAGAATGAACTAGGGAATCTTACAATATTTTTGGAAGCTGTAAAAGAGTGTTAACAAATTCAGTATCACTGGTCTAATCCACCAATCGAAAAAGAAAGTGTTAAAAACACGGTCATGTGTAAAGCTAACATCATTACAGGTAGCAATCTGATTTCAAATGATGTGGAAAAAATGGTTTGGAGCACAATGAGGACGTCAAAGCCATCTAGGATGGGTGAAGCAAGACAAATCTTCATTAGTTAGAGGATTTCATCATGAGCTGACATCAGATAAACAACCACTGGAAAACCTGGAAGTGCTGGACAGCTGTTTCCTCCTAGTTTTGGACTCTTCCTCAATGGCAGCTTACTGATGAAGAGTCCAAAACTACGACGAAGCAGATGTTCAGTACTCCCAGGTTTTCTGGTGGTTCTCTAACTGATGTCAGCCCATGATGAAATCCTCCAGCCAATCAAACAAAGTCCCTACCAAACCAATACATGAAAATTAGGTCTTCATTAATCCGAAATCCGTGTAGAAATCTTCTGCGCTGAACATGAAGAACAAAATTTGAATTTTCAAAACTAATGTAAAGTTAGTGAATGTTTCATTATTGTTCAAAGACTTGTCTATCACGTCACGAAAAGCATTTCCAACAGGCTACCTCAGACTCTCTTCAAGAGCTACCTCCTTCGCTACATATTGATGATGAGATGTCCGGACAGGAAGGATTATCAACAAGAAACTGTGGTAAGCAACGGATCAACCAAAAAACTTTAGACCAATAAAGATGCAGAAGGAAACTGATATTGGTTCGGACACACACTGAAGAGATAGTTGAGTAGCACCACATACCGGAACCCCTATCAGTACTCTGATGGGAAACGATGGGCTGGAGAAGATCGTGTGAAGAAAAAAGAAAGTCTATAGTTAATCATCGGGTCAGCTAAAATGGCTGCAGAGGACGAAGTAAAACAGACATGTGCTTTTGAAGCCGAATGTTGCTTTCCTAATCCTAGTGAATAATAATATTAACGAAGTTCATGAAAATGTGACATTCAGTGAAGTTGAAAATTTCGCAAATATTTCCGATAAAGATATCCAAAGAAACATAACTGAATTACACATAACCAAGTAAGGGACGAATTAAAATGCATGAGTTATTGTCTTAATAATTATCAGGAAATTCGATATTTCTATAAGTTTTGTACACAAATAGTATTGAAACTCCGTTATGAGGGTTTTACATCAAGCTATAAATAGACCGGTTAAGTTTAACACTTCTCGAAAATTGAAAATTCAGATAATAACTTGTCTCAGCAAAGAAGAATCTTAAAGTTGATTTGAACATCGAGAAACAGTTGGATCTTAGTTAATGATCTGGATTTCGCCGATTATATATGTCTGATTTCCCACAAACTGGAAGATATGCAAGTGAAAAGCAACAAGTTGGCAGAAGAAGCATCAAAGATAGGACACCACTTCAGGTGAACATAAAGAAATCAGAGGTGATGAAGATTCGTGGACAACACCAAACAGCAGCAACAACAACAGACAACAATCAGCCAGCATAAATGGGAGAAATCTGAAAAGAGCAACCTCCTTCACCTACCTACCTACCTACCTGGGAAACATCGTCTCAACTACAGGCGGACGGAACTGATGAGGATATCAAAGCAAGGCAAGCTTTCATTTATTTCAAGTCTGTGTGGAGGTCAACAGCAATTAGCATGAAAATGAAAATGAGATCCGGATTTTCAACTCCAATGTGAAGTCAGTGCTATTTACTACACGGATCAGAGACTTGGCGCCATGTCACGAAGGGCACTTAGAACAAACTACACATCTTCATCAAGATCAGATGGCCGGCTAGAAAAACATCAGCAACAGCGAGGAATCTCTGTCAATGAGCGAACCAACGCAGCAGGAACCGATTGTGCAACACATCTGCAGGAAGAAATGGAAGTAGGTGGATTGGCCATACTCTGAGGGAACAAACCATCAAGTGACACCACACGCCTGGCGGTCACTCGATTGGAATCCGACTGAATGAGAAGCGGCGAGTTGGTCGTCAGTACGAGGGTGGTGTGACATGTAGGAGGAGGTGATGTGAAGAGGAGATGAAAGCATGTGGGGGGACATGTAGCCAGGTGAAAACGTTGACGTAGAACCGAAGGTAATGGAGACGTGTGGCTGAAGTCCTATGATCCTCTAGAAACTAAATGAGACAATAATAATAATCGTATATTTAAGTGTTATAAAAAGATGTTATCCATTGTTATCATGAAATTTACTCACTTTCTATAATTTAAACAGTTAATGCATCAACTCAAAGATCAAATGACCGTTTGAATCAGGTTGGATATCTTTTATGGAATAAAAGAGAAATTAAAATCTAGATAAACCGTTCAGCCACAAACCTTTGAAACAAAATACTACTTGTTATTGTATTATGCATCTATTCACATCCATAAAGAGGAGCGGATGAAATGATTAACAGTACACACGTCCTTTGAAAGATACTGATAAATGTAATTCAGTAGAATAGACAAACTACCCTAAATGATAACCTTCTTTAGCAGATAGAATTAATGTCAAATTAGAAAAATCGTCACTACGTTACGACACAATTCCATATTGTATAAGTTTATTCTATATAACACGCAGTATTACAGTATTAATGACTAGTATAATAAGTAATCATAGGACTGCTGTCAGACAGTACATCAATTACAGGGGAAGATAATTAAACAGTAGGGTAGTCAGAGTTCACCTTCATCTTTCACCCTTTAATTACAACTTTATTTTCAAACTTATGATAAAAACATTGCCTGTGATGTCAGGTAGCTAGACAATCAGATCTCGTAATTGTTAAAATGAAACCAAGAATACGATTATCTCTATGACACGAGCTTTTAGACATTGTACATCTTTTCACTTGAATCAACAAAGTGTAATATCATCCGTATGACTTGTAATTCAAGTGAAATGTCGACAAATTCATCATTAGTATATTATTCCCCACAGAGTTTAGTGGAGTCTAGAAATTCTAATTTTTCATTTACATTTTTCAATTACTATACCGCCACAAATCTCCCTTAAATTTTGAAATTATTCTATATA